AGGAGTAACGGGGTAGCTGTAAAACTTATAGTAAAAAAGCGTAAGAAATTCTTACGCAAATCAGCTTGTGGCAGTGGTAGAATTGAGCCAGAGCGAGAGCGCCATCTGTCGTGGAGTTTGGCCAGTGGGTTGTGTAGAACCAGTGGGTTCGTTGTCATGACACCGTGACGTCACACTTCGGTACTCTCTCTCGCCGAGAGTTTTCAAAAAAATCAACTTTGGAGCACACTTCTGGCTCAATGAGAACATTTCGTGATGTTTTCATACTGCAAGTATGCTCGGTGTATGCATGTAGGCTTTTTGTTGCGAAGTTTTATCCAATTTAAGGATGCCTGTTCGACACGAGTTTGCACGTATGGGGAACCTGAAAAAGCTTGCGACGATAAAGACGACGCCTCCAACCATACACTAGATGACACGCACCACGAAATCTACGCGTCGATCATTGAGTCCGCGTAGACCGGAGCGACGTAACCTCCGTATTAAACACACCTCGGGGACCTGACATTTTAACAAGTAACACGAGAAATATACACGGAGGCGCGGACCGACGGACACGCACGAGCGCCCACGCAGGCTTTCATTTCTTATAGTAATGGGAGTGTCGTGTATAAGCACACTGTGAAAGGCCATGCGTGTATCGTATTGCATTCATCGATCTAGAAGGCCGGAGCATTTTAAAGCATTAAAAATGCATGTTATCGCCATTCGTATTAAAATATAACCGTAGATTTCCACACGCGTCTAGCTATACCTCGATGACGAACTGTCAACCGAAAGTTCTATAGTTATACAGTTATATGCTATATACATAAAAATAAAGTTGATCTCAGTTAGATCCAAAATAAGTTATACATACTTATTATCTTTATTTTTATGTGAACTATAGAGATCCGATGAAATTATTCAATCATATATGCGATATGGTTACGTGCTTCATTTTGGGTAACACGCGTGCAAACCATGTCGGTCATGATTCATTTATCAGTCTCATGTCCACGCTAAGAGCATCTTAGGTAATATGCTCTGAAAATCAATTGCGCGAGATGCTCACGGATAATATACAAGCGTCACGTTTAGATGCGCATACAGTGACACGGCCTGACACACATACGTGCGCGCACGCATTGTGTGTGTGTGTGTGTGTGTGTGTGTGTGTGTGTGTGTGTGTGTGTGTGTGTGTGTGTGTGTGTGTGTGTGTGGTGTGTGTGTGTGTGTGTGTGTCGCGCGCGCGCGCGCGCTACACACACACACACACACACAGGTATTGCTAATATGGTGATTGCTCAAACCAGACTGATGATACAGTTAGTGAGGGCTGGCTACACACTGCAACCAGGGGGTGGAGGAGCGTTTTATCTTGGAAAGTATGCAACCTTGTAATGAGCAATTAACAGTGTGCGTGCGTGCGTGCGTGCGTGTGTGCGTGTGTGGTTTTCTGAAACCAACTTCAACTTGAAACTAAATCAAAACAGGCATCGGCACTGGCTAGGTGGGCGTGTCAGACACCGGGAGAAAGATGCGTTCTAACGAAACCCTGTACTGCGTATGAGCCAGTAGACTTTCATATCTATGGCACAGCTGCTTCGAACCCCCCTCCGTCTCTGTGAGAGTGAGTAGACGTATGACCTGCAACAATTGCGTTCTAATGACCCCCCCCCACCACCTGCGTTAGACAGAGCTGACGTCACAGCTAATGCATCGGCTGCCTTTTCTTGAAATCCCGTGCTTGGCTAGCGAGCAATTTTTCTGCTATATATGCCCGAAACTTCATGAAATTTCATTCAATGCAGAATTAGAGGATTTGTACTTACTTGAATATTAAGCTCCAAGTTCTTCCACTGGCAATACCTTGTGTATTTGTCACTGTAACATATCAAGGTTAACTATCAAGGTTAGTATTAATAGGTGAAAATATAATCACTGTATGTCTGTGTGTGTACAAAATCCCTTACAAATTTTTTAATCTTACCACAGTAAGATATAATAAGGTCAGCAGTAAATAATACATTAGACTAGCAGTATAATTTACTCTTAAAGTCATTACGTCACCGTAAATAATAACAAGTGCTGCAGAGCGACAGGGCTCATCTGGTGTCTGGTGTTCTGCTGATAAATTCATTTGTGCATAGCAAGACGTCCTATACATACGTTCATTTCTAACCCAAAAAAACAACATTTCAAACTAGTGTAATAAAATTCCGATAGATGGCGGGCCGCTATCAAAGGCATCATTGCATCGATCAGGCAAAGCATTGCAGCAATGGCAGCTGTCAGTGTGACGACGGATTGCAAAAAGCAGGAGCAAATAATTACCATATTATTACTATACATAACGTGCGTTCTATGGTGTCAGGTAATAAGGTACATTAAACCCCTTGCGAGGCACATCTGGCTCATTAAAAAATAGCTCAATGGTTGATACAACCAAAGCAGCTCGTGCAAGATTACAATTTACAGCAATATACGATAGCAAATATCTGTAAACTAATTTCAGTACAAGGTAGGCCAGTGATTAGTGGACCGAATAAGCTCAAGAACGTACACACTTGCGTCTATATTGGTGCCAAAATTTGATGAGAAAATTAAGTCTGGGAAATCTGCAGCCTCACTCCTGGGTAATTATTTGAGTGCTAGTGACTGTATTCCAACTATTCATAATGTACACTACAGAATCTCATATATAAGTCATCTCATTATCTCCTAAGTAAGCGTTGTTCAAGTAAGAGCTATGTGTGGAATTTCACTGTAAAATGGGAGCTTTCCACAACCACAGGTACTCGCCAACACAGTTGAGAAACAAATCAATGTTTAACCCTCCTCTTGAGGGTCAAAAGGTTATCCGACACTTACTCTTCGCATGTCAGCAGAAAGTACATTTCATGGTACTTTCAATAAAACCATAAAAATGCTAGGTCACCGCTGAAACAAAAAAGTTTTTCAATCGCTCCGTCAGACCATGTCCTCAGAAAATGTCTAAAATCTACCCTGTACCCCCTTGACCTTTGACCTGTGACCTCCAATTTCGGCACAGTGATGGCTTTTCCTACCATGATGCTATACAACGACTATCACGAGCCTAGGTCGAGCCGTTTAGATTTGTGCCGCAATTCTGCATTTCCTCCCTATACCTTAAGTTAAGGAGGGAATGTTCCCCTTCTTTTACACCTCTTGACCTTTGACCTTTGACCCCCCAGCTTCGACATCCCAACTCGTTTTGACGATACCCCCAACGTCCCGAATATCGTGACCGTACGTCAAGCGGTTAAGATTTGTGCCCAACTGTTGACGGACGGACGCACGGACGGACGGCCGGACGGACGGACGCACGGACGATCATGCGATTCTACAAGCTGCATCTGACTACGTCAGATGAGCTAAAAAATAATAAAAATATTTCCACTTTTTCACAAAATATAAGTAATTCTGTTCACATTTTATGGTTAAATTGCTGCATTATACTTCCTATTTTACTATATTGTTCGATGTGAACATACACTCGTGACCCATACATAGCCCATAGCAAGCAATTAATGTTGAGAACATTAATTCAAATCGTCCAGGTTTTTTTGGATTTTTAACTAGTTGAGAAACAATCTTCTCATGTAAGAATTTGACGATTTGTTTAGTTGTTAGTTCTTACTTTTAATGTAAAAAATTGCTTCTTTTTTTTACAAATTTTACCATAGAAAATTCGTGACGTAGTCCCTTTAATAGCATGTTTGGATAGTTAATTCAACCTGAGTGTTAGTTCATAAATACGCAGCTATCTGTGGTAACTATGTTACGGCTTTCCTTCATGCACTATGCTGAGACGATCTAATAGTATCTACAGATACTAAACTATAATCAAAGTAAATCATCTATATGCTGTCTCTATGAGGAGTAAAATGATACAGGTAACATACTAACAACAATAACGTCTAATTATTTTACTCTTGTCGCTATGTATGATTGCTAAGTCCAAGACTCCTCAGGACCCCTCGACACACATGTGCAAATAAATACATCTTATTTCCTTCTGCGCCTGTACTGCCCCTACCCGACACACACACCCGAGTGCTTACCTTTCTAAAAATTTCTTAAAAATTCGTCCTGTCAATGAACTAAAGATTTCTTCGAGGTATGGCTGGAGAACAAAAAACACGAGTTAAGAAAAATCATTATCACAGAATCATCAAATGACAACGCTCAACACGGAGGTCATCAAAGGTCAACACGCACCAACGTACGCAAGCTAATATAACCCATTACTTACACCCAGCGTCCGCATTCGTTTTGCATCTGCTATACAAACTGCACGCGTGATTTCGCACGCGATTTTAAATTGCCAGCGCGGCGAGTATGTGAAGCCGTGTGACTGATCTGTAGGTCAGTACGTAGTGCTGGTAACCAGTATCGGTGGGTGCGGGGTAGGTAGCAAAGGCATCACTCACGCACGTGACACAAACTCACGATAACGATGCTGTGATCATAGGAGGAGGAGGAAGAGGAGGAGGAGGAGGAGGAGGAGGAGGAGGAAGAGGAGGCGAGGGAAAAGGCAGAGGTGAGAGAGAAGGAGGAGGGAGAAGGAGGAGCCAAGGGAGAAGGCGGAGGAGGAGGCAAGGGAGGAGGAGGCAAGGGTGAAGGAGGAGGCAAGGGAGAAGGAGGAGGCAAGGGAGAAGGAGGAGGCAAGGGAGAAGGTAGTGCGTATTGCTTTAATCACCTCCACTTCTCACGAGTTATATCTTCGCAGGCGATTATCTAGTCTGCAGGACGTGGCGACTCTCTACAGGGAGTGTGGTGATAGAGGGACGTGGCGCCCGTCTATCTGCAGCGCGGCTCTTACCTTAAAGAGATCTGAGGGAAACTGATTCTTCAGTAGAATCGTCTGTACATGTGAAACTGCCTCCTTGGAATATCCCTAGAGGAAGCAACGAGCACAGAACACTGCGTTATCAATAGGTGCCGCTCCACATGCAAGCGTATGCCGCTCCAGGTAATTATCATACAGTAACAGTAACACCCCGTGCTACGGTTATTCTCATTATTAGTCCGTACGTAATTTGTAAAGTACGAAATACTAAAATCGGGATACGAATCGTAATTTCATTTTAACAGAATCTTTTCAAAGCAATGAGTGGGATTTTTCTACCAAACCCTCACCCTTCCCCTTCCCTCTCCCTGCAAAGCGTACAGGCATCACTTACGTGAGCGTGGGCGAGCAGCTCTCTCATGACGTACTTATCGTAGATCTCCCTCGCCACCTTCCTTCTCTCCTCCGTCGTCTCCATCTTCTCAAACTTCTTTATCTGCCGGGCAGAGAGGTGGCAAATGATCAATATTTTGCGAAACATCGGGACTGTTTCTGCATCGCGATTCAAGTGCATGCATGCAAAATAACAAAGCATAATAAATAAATAAATAAATTATATTTATATATACATACAGTCATATGTACGAACATACACGTATATATGTATAGGTACATATATGATATCCCTCCCTATTATCTACTTCTGATATATATATTATGCATAACTTTATGTAATAACGCACTCACGCACGCACACACGTTGATAATTGACATGCGTGTGCGCATGATCGCAAATATCAAGCCATCCGGCATTCGCGAGGGCTGGCTATTCATGCTGGTCAAAATCTACAAGGAGAGAGAGAGAGAGAGAGAGATGCGAAATCAATGGGCAGCTATTAGCGCAGAAGAGATCAGCAGCCACATATACAGAGCGGCTCTACAGTCCCTATACAGAGCGGCTCTACGGTCCCTGTACAGAGCGGCTCTACAGTCCCTGTATACAGAGCGGCTCTACAGCCCCTATACAGAGCGGCTCTACAGTCCCTGTACAGAGCGGCTCTACAGCCCCTGTACAGAGCGGCTCTACAGCCCCTGTACAGAGCGGGCGGGTGTTCACAGCAGCTAGCAAAAAGCCGCGTGCAAGCGGCCGCTACACGTGGCGCGCCCCGGAAGCATTCGTGTGTAATTGGTAAGATGTTTTTGGTTTGGCTAGCGGGCTACAAGAGTGACCTAGATCTGGTGACATGGCCTTGGCCTGACTTTCAACCTGTGTCTATCCTCGGCTGATTTCTGTCTGCCGGAACTAGTTAGTATAGTAGTCACTGGCTTGCGTAACCGCTAAACACTGTCAATGCAGGGAGTTTGGCCTCCCTCTCCCTCTCCTTCCCCCTACCCCTACCTCTCCCCCCCCCTCTCTGGTGTCTCCTCTGCTCTGTCTCTGTCGGCGCTCCTCTCTCTCTCTCTCTCTCTCTCTCCTCTTCCTCTCCTCTCCTCATCCTCTCCCTCTCCTCTCCTCTCCTCTCCTCTCCTCTCCTCTCCTCTCCTCTCCTCTCCTCTCCTCTCCTCTCCTCTCCTCTCCTCTCCAGTCTCCTCTCCTCTCCTCCTCTCCTCGCCTCCCTCTCCTTCTCCTCTCCTCTTCCTCTCCTCTCCTTCCTCTCCTCTCCTTCCTCTCTCTCCTGCTCCTCTCCTCTCCTCTCTCTCTCCTCTCCCTCTCCCTCCTCTCCCTCCCCTCTCTCTCTCTCTCTCTCTCTCTCTCTCTCTCTCTCTCTCTCTCTCTCTCTCTCTCTCTCTCGCAATCTCTGTATGTGTGTGTATGTGTGTCTTTCTCTCTATATATATATCTGTATCTCTCTCTCTCCCTCTCTCTCTCTCGTCCGGTAAAAATGAGTATGTAACAGAAAACTAAACTTCGTTCAGCAGCTACCGCCGATACCGCTTCCGACAGCGACGTGACATGTCTGCCGCTTACTCTAGCCCGACTGTTTGACTTTACGTCCCTGTATCCACAACCGCCTTCTCCCGTGTAGCCGCGTCAAGGCATGCACGCACGCACGCGCTGCCTGAGCCTCTACACAGCAGCGCGGACGCACACACGCACGCACGCACGCACGCACGCACGCACACGCACGCACGCGCTGCCTGAGCCTCTATACAGCAGCACGCACGCACGCGCTGCCCGAGCACGCACGCACGCACGCACGCACGCACGCGCGCACGCGCTGCCGAGCCTCTACACAGCAGCGCGCGAGCACGCACGCGCTGCCCGAGCCTCTACACAGCAGTGCGCGCGCACGCACGCACGCACGCAAGCACACGCACGCACGCGCTGCCCGAGTCTCTACACAGCAGCGCGCGAGCACGCACGCGCGCNCCTAGCAACCATCGTCACAGCATCCACCTCCTAGCAACCATCATCACAGCATCCACCTCCTAGCAACCATCATCACAGCATCCACCTCCTAGCAACCACCATCACAGCATCCACCTCCTAGCAACCATCGTCACAGCATCCACCTCCTAGCAACCATCATCACAGCATCCACCTCCTAGCAACCATCGTCACAGCATCCACCTCCTAGCAACCATCGTCACAGCATCCACCTCCTAGTAACCATCGTCACAGCATCCACCTCCCAGCAACCATTGCCACAGCATCCCTCTCTTAGCAACTACGATCATATCCGCTTCATAAGCTACCATCGTCACAGTGGAGAACACGCCTGAATAATGTCAAAACCAACGTTTCGATCGTACCCTGAAAGATCAACATAGAACCGGAGCTTCAAAAATATTTCCGCTTATATTGCGAAGAACACTGCATCAACGCAACGTTTATTAAATATTTGTCAAGTCAATATACGCATTGCAGTTGCTGCTGTGCCTAACCAAAAGCATACATACGAACACGCGCATGTACACCTCCACGCACATACACACGCACGCACGCACGCACGCACGCACGCACGCACGCACGCACGCACGCACGCACACACACACACACACACACACACACACACACACACACACACACACACACACACACACNGCACCAACACCACCACCACCACAGCAGGCAGCAGCAGCAGCTAGCAGGCACCACCACCACCACCAACCAGCAGCACCCACCAGCAGCAGCAGTAGCAGTTTAGCAGTAAGGCAGTACAGTAGCAGCCAGGCAGCAGCGTCGGCAGCAGCAGGCAGCAGCAGCGGCAGCAGCAGCAGCGGCAGCTAGGCGGCAGGCGCGCGCAGCAGAGCCGGCCAGCGCGCAGCCGCGGCAGCAGCGGCAGCAGCGGCAGCAGCGTCGTCAACACGCGTTTTCTTCGCCGTTCACGCAACACGTAATGCAAATCATTCAGCCAAGCATCAGTAGTGTCTAGGGGGTGGGCGTATATGTATGTATGTATGACAGCCCCGCGGTGGGCACATCGATACCGCTATAATGTATCGCTGGCGATCGTTGATGGCGCTAGATAAGAAAACTCCAACAGTACGGCTGATGGTTTACAATCGTTAAATATCGGATCGGTTTAAACAAACACAATCACGCACCCGTGCACCGCGAGCTTCAGTGTTTGCAGAAATATCAAATGATAATTTTAGCAGCTGAGTTTCTCCTACATAACATCCTCTAACTGCACAGCCGGGACTGCTGTAGGCTCGCGTGCACATTGCTCTACACGAGCAGACGCTTTCGAAGTGTAAAAGACAGGATGGCGGCGGCAACAGCAGCAGCAGCGACATCAGCCACCGCAGTGGCAGTAGCAGAAGCACCACCATCATCATCAACACTGTCACCATCACCAGCAGCCAGGCAGCAGCAGCAGCCTAGCAAGCAGCAGCAGGCAGCAGTAGCAGCAGCATTAGCAGCAGAGCACTGTATTATTATATTATTACTATTATTATTATTATTATATTATTATTGTTGTCGTTGTTGTGTTGTGGTTGTTGTTGTTATTATTATTATTATTATTATTGTTATTATTATAATTATTAACTTCTACTGAGTTACAGCTTATCTCAACGCAATTCCGACGACGTTTGAAATCTGGTAATTTAACAGGAAATCGTGAATATTGATCAACCTGTAGAGACCGTACGTATGCGGGTCTTCGTTCCCTCCCACACACTACACACCTGTACACACCTGTACAAACTACACACCTGTACACACCTGTACAAACTACAGACCTGTACACAACTGTACAACTACCAGACCTGTACCATAACTACACACCTGTACACACCTGTACAAACTACGCACCTGTACACATCTGTACAAACTACACACCTGTACAAACTACACACCTGTACACAACTGTACAAACTACAGACCTGTACACAACTGTACAAACTACAGACCTGTACAAACTACACACCTGTACACACCTGTACAAACTACGCACCTGTACACATCTGTACAAACTGTACACAGCCTGATAGCACCAAAACTGTAGCGAACTTACAGACCTGTACGAAACTACACAACCTGTACAATACTACACACACGCTGTACAGCACCTTACAAACTACACACCTGTACAAACTAACACACCTGTACAAACTCCGCCCACTTGTTACACACCTGTACAAACTACACACCTGTACACACCTGTACAAACTACAACACACTGTACACAACTGTACAAACTAACGCACGCTGACAAACTACATACACTTGCTACACACCTGTACAAACTACCACCCTGTACGCTACACTGTACAACCTACACCTGTACACAACTCTACAAACTATACACACCTGTAACAAACTACGCCAACACTGTACACACGGCTGTACAAACTACGCACCTGGCTACAAACTACACCACCTGTGCAGCATCCTGTACAAACCTACACACCTGTACACACCTGCTGACACACCTGTACAAACTACACAAACCTGTACACACCTGTAGGGACGACCTGCTACAAACTACACACATGTAACACACCTGTATGTCTACATACAACAGCGCTCGTCGCATGAGCAAATATCTCTGCTCTCTATCGCTCTATAATACCCCTATCAAAATGCAATTAACTGCTCAGTCAGGAAATCGCATAGAATACCCATATAACTAGATAATGAGGCAGTTGTCGCCAACTACATGTATCCGCCCGTGATCTAAGCTATGAATGGAATATCTCTGTAAGGACGTAAGAAGGCAGGTAAAGTTTAAATAAGTCACAAAGACAAAGGTTTGTTATGACAACTGGTGTTGCGCTCAGATGTGCAAGTATTATGGAAATCTGGTTACCCCTAGGCATGGCCGAAGATGGAAATGTGAAGTCGCACGGTGAAGGTCAAACTAAGGTCAAGGGCAGTGGTGGTTTTGGTATATAGATGCGGCAGACCTTCTCGCGCAGGATGTGTAAGCATACAAGTTTGGTCGCGCCTAGAGTCAATTAGGGGCTGAGTTAGAGAGGCGGAAGGGAAATTATGATCAAGGTCAAGGCTAAAGGTGGAAATAAAGGTCGCAGTCGACCTGGTGGGGGCAGTTTTTTACGCCAGGATCTCGGATGTCTTCAAATTTGGCGCAT